TAACTATCACCAAATCAAGATTTAGAACATTTCTCTCACCCAGAAAGTTCTTTTGTGTCCCTTTCTGGTCAATACCTGCCCTTTGCAGAGGCAGCCATTCTTCTGATTTCTATCATTACAGCTTAGTTCTGCCTTTCCTGAACTTTCTACATATGAAATAATATAGAATGTACTCTTTTGTTTCTGGGTTTTTTAATTCAAGATGTGTCCATGCTGTTGTATACGTTAGTAATTTGTTCCTTTTTATTGCTAAGTAATATCCCATTGTATGGAGATATCACACTTTTCTTATCCTTTCTCTTGTTGATGGATATTTGGGTCTGTCATGAGTAGATCTGCTACAAACCTTCTTGTATAAGTCTTTTTGTCAACAATTGTTTTCGTTTCTCTTGGATAAATACCAGCAACGTATAAGAGTTCCGGTTGCTCCAGGTCTTCATCAACACTTGGTAATGTCAGTCTTTCTAATTTTAGTCATTCTGGAAGCAGAAATCTTTACCACTTGGTTTAGGTCAAATGATTTATAGCAGTTATTCTTAACCTGAGTGTCTTGACACAGTACTATGTCTGGATTGGTTATGACGTATCACAAAGAATTTATTAAAAAACAGTAATAGTAATAGTTTGAGCACTGAAGCTTATAAATACTTTTGTTTTTACATTGAAGAGAATTCAAAATCCCAAAATAGCATGACTCTAAATTGTGGGCATCATGCTATATATTTTTTTCTGAAAGAGATAAAAGAGATACAGTTAATGCTGCAGAGATTACATGTTACAGACTCTTAAGTTCTAGATGCACTCAATAGCTGTAGCAACTATGAATTACTATAAAATAGGATGAGAAAATTGTAAAAACTCAGGGGCTAGCAAGCAAAAAATTTGCACTGCCTAATAAGGCAGCAGGTGGTTCTATATTCATGTAACTGTACCTACCTCTCCATTCATGCTTTTATCTAGTCATTCAATAAATATTCACTCAGCAACTAACATATGCCAGTGACAGGGCTAGGTTCTGGGAATACAAGAATGACAAAAGTGTAAGAAATTTTCCAGTTCAGTAGGACTAACTGACAAATACATAGGTGATTAAACAATAGTTGGTCAGCACCTAAAACAAAGAGATTAAGATCGCAAGTTTAATATTATGATTTTTACAGACGTCACAAGAAAACCCAAGGATAAACTAGTGACACTATTTATTAATTTGTTCAACAACATTTGTTAAGCTCCATGAGGTATGGGGACTTTGTTGGTCACTGAGGAACAAAAACAAGAAAACAATTTCTGTCCAGTGGTTTTGAAGCGTTAGCACACGCAAGAAAAAAAGAGGAAGCTTGTTAAAAGTACCGATTTCCTCATTCAACAGATCGGGGTGGCCAGGAATCTGAATTTCTAATAAGCATTCCAAGAAATTTTGATGTCTCTGGTCTGTGGGCAACCCTTTGACAAACATCCTATAGTCTATTGGAGAAGAAAGACATAAATACTTAATTATATGACCATGTGAGTGAGCAATAATGGAAATATGCATGAGGAAGGTAAATTCACGTCTATCCGCAGGAAGCCGAAATTTCTCCTCGTCATTGTGTGTGATGGTGATTGAGTAATATTAGCACTAGGCTTACACGGTAAACATCAACAAGTGATTGCTGCCCTGCTGAATTCAGACTCGAGACAGCAACATCAGCTCTTACCTGAATTTCCAGCCTGCCCTATGAATTTTGGACTTATCAGCCCCCATAGTTGTGTGAGCCAATTCCTTAAAATAAATCTCTCAATGTATATTAAAAAGAAAAATTGATCCAGCAACACGAACTCTGCTTCTCTATGGCAACAGTTAGCCAAGGCTGATTGGCAGCTGTCCTGCTTCCACGGGGCATTTGTGTTCCAGTCCCCACACCCCTACCTGGCCCAGGTGCCCATTTATCTAATCTGTCTGACCTCTGTAGGCATGTGGATTTCAATTCAATCTTGTTGGTATTTAACAGACCAGGCCAGTTTAGGAATTTTGGAGGTTCTAGCATGGGAAAGAGTGTGGTGCCTATCTTCCACTCCCTACTTTGACCTTGCCTCTATGTAATTAAAACTAAAAACAATATTATATCATCCAAAAGAGTAGGCCAGTCCAATAAAGTTCTGACTTTTTTTCCCTCAAGGTGACTTCCTGGGTGCTTTTGGGGAAATAGCAAATTCTTTCCGAAGTTATTTTTTGGGTGCTGCTGCTTTGCTGGTGTCTGACTGTGGACTTGGCCTGCCTCTGGGGACACTGGGTTGCCTCCAACCTGCAGCCTTCCCCTTTGCCAGGGTTTCCCTGCACTGTCTCTGCATCCCCAGTCTGGAGTGTAACCCCAACCCCAGCCCGTGTGACTGTAACTGCAACAATCCCGGTGGCCTTCGAGCTTCTCTCTTCTCAGCTCCCGCAGCCTGTTTTCTCTGCCCTCTGCAGCACTAGAGGCCAGGCTTATGGCTGCAGAAAGAAGCCCAGGTCCCTTGGGCAGGGGTGGCCAGGGCTCTGGATATTTTCTATTATCTCAGGAGCTGAGCTGGGTGGGTGTGCATGGGAAGTCGGCAGGGACACTGGTCATGACAGTGTCCCAAGAAGGCTTTGAATTTGGGTCGTGCCTGAGGCTAGAGCCTCTGCACATATCAGCTTATTGAATCTTCTTTATAGTTCTCATTCTCCAGATGAGGAAGTTGATGCTGATGATCCCTCGGTAAGCGGCGGACTCTGGCTTTGAACCCAGGTCTGTGTGACTGGTTTTGATGCTTTGTTTTGGGGATGGAACGGGGACAGTCACTCCTGCCTGTGGAGACTGAGTAGATCAGAGGGAAGACTGCAAGTCTTGTAAGCAGGCTGTCCTCCCCAGCTTAGTCAGCACAGCGGGGTTGGGAACATGAGTCCTCTGGACTGTGATTAGGAAGAGGACGTTTAAGGGCGACAGGTAAGATCTCTGTGCTCTACTTTACTGCTCTGTTCCGAATTCTACTGTGAGAAGTATCATCAGATTAGGCCTCCTTTCTGTTTTGTTTTCAACCTGGATTCTTGGGGTGAGAAGCAAAAATACACAATCCTCTTGTTCTTATTTCCACGTGAAACAACATTCGTAAACTGTAGGCTACTGGAGAGCAGACCCCAAGACCGAATCTGGTAGTTGTTGGCATGGAAGTCTGTTTGAGTACCTTTACTTTCCCTGGAAGAATCCTCAGAGAGTCGATTGTCCAGTTGTGATGGATACAAGGCCACAAATGAAGACTTCCTGCGCAGAGGAGGAAAAACAGCGATATACAAGCCGGTGGGGGGGCCCGTCCCTAGGCTCACATTACAGAACCCCCTATATATAGAGTTGTGTGCTTCCCTGTGTGTGGGCTGTGAGCTTCTCAAAGTTAAGGACTACTATCTCCTGAATCTTTGTATCCCCTTCAGCTAGCACAGTGCCCGGTATACAGTAGGTGGCCGTGGATGTTTGATGGACAAATGAATGCATGAATGGAGGGAGGAGAAGTAGAACAAGAGGTCTACACCCATGAAGTATTTGGGGGCATCTAGGGAGGCAGCACTGGTGAGAGTGGGCTCTGAAGTGAGACTGCTAGGGTTTCCATCCTGGCCCCACCTCCCCGCACTGCGTAACCCTGGACAAAGTGCTCCACCTCTCCAGCCTTCCTTTTCTCTTGGTAAAGTGCTGATAAGGTGGGTGATGATGGTCTTTATCTTATAGGATTATTATGGGGTTTAATAAGTTATAGTGTCCTGGGTTGAGCAGAGCATGGCACCCCTATGATAGCCAATCTAGATTTTTAAATAAAAAGGGGAAGTGTGTATTGAGCTAGAGATCTTTGATGGATGGGAGGGAGTCTAGAAAAGTCCAAGATATGTGAGGATACTGGGTTTGGGAAAGAGGCTGAAATGGCTAGATGAGGCTGGAAGTAGGAACTAAATGGAATTCCAATGGGATTGGCCAGGGAATGTGAGAGAATCGGGTGGTTAGACTGTCCTGAACCTGTGAAATTCCCCGCAATGGGTGATGGCACTTGTCCTTCAGGTGGCTTACGGGCTTTGCACGGGTATTGTTGTTTGTCCCAGTTTATTGGTCTTAAGGAAAACAGATCTCATCTTTAGTCTTCCAGGAAATTGGTTAAGCAATAGGTAAATTTTAATGCTCTTTTGAAATTTTAATGTATTCTGAGGTTTGAGTCATGTTTATTTCTTTCCTTGAGCCTTCCTGCAGCGTGCAAGAGAGGTGTGGGCCTTCTCTATCTTCCACATGCTACTTAATATTATAGACTTTTTTGTTTTCAATTTATTATTTTTTTGACTAGGCAATGCATTTACATAATTTAAAAGTCAAAATGGTGTGAAAGCCCTGCCCTGAGAAATCCAGCTCTCTGCCCAGCTGTCCACACTGCTCCCTGCTCCACCTAGGTAACCACATCCATCAGTTTCTTATGGATCCTCTCAGTGTTTCTTAAATTAAGCAAATTAAGCAAATACAAATTTAGTCTTGGTTCTTCTCATTCTTATTCAAGCACCACTGTTTATTTTCCCGGTTCTCTAGAGAGGGGCCCTTGACTTCCTTCGGATCTCTCGCTGTTACAAACAGTGCTTGTACAAACTCCAGTTTCCTATGTGCAGGTGTGTCTATGAGATGTCCTGCAGATTGCCCTGGAAGTGGGCTTGCTGGGCCAAGGGTAAGCCTATTGGTAATTTTGATAGACATTGAGACATGGCCTCCTTCTGGGTCATGTAATTCCTGTGAGCAGGTATGAGCCTGCTTGTGTCCCCACAGCCTCCCGACACAATATCTTGTCCCACTTCTGCAAGTCTGAGAGGTGAAACATGTTTTCTGAGTGTAGCTTTGACTTATATTCTCCCTGTGATCACTGGAGCTGAGCATCTTTCCATGTGGTTAAGAACCATTTATATTTCTTTTGTCAATCATGCGTTTACGTCCTTTGCCTATTTTTCTATTACTTAAAACTTTTTGTTATTTGAATTCTAGAATACCCTGGACGTTCATTGACCAACTATTACTGATCAACTACTGTGCGCCAGGCTCTGTGAAGACACCAACTAGATAGAGCTGAATAGGATGCTGGCCTTGCCTTCCAGAAGCTCACAATCCAATGGATGAGCCATTGCATCTATAATATCTATCTGTCTGTCTGTCTATCTATCTATCTATCATCTATCTACCATCTATCTATCTTTATTTATATCTATATCTATATGTAGATATCTATGTGTCTGTCTATATCTCTTTATCTCCCTATCTATCCATCTCTATCTGTGTGTAGATAACATAGAAAGAAATGCAGTATGATGTCCAAGCATCATGATAAAGGGGTGTGGAAGGTGTCACAAGCCCAGTGAGGTAGGCAAATGCCCCATCCAAGTTGGGATGGGCTAGAGGTCCGAGTACATACTTTCTAGGCTGCCAGGAAGGCGAAGAGCAATCCAGGCTGAAGAAATCATGCGTTCTTAGTTCCTTGTTCCTTAGTGCTGCTCTCTAGCCCTCATCCCTTCGCCCCTCAGCGCCAGCCACTTGGTGAGTGCTAAATACGTGTTCCCTGAGTGCAGTAACTGGAGAACAGTCTGATGTAAGAGCCTTGTTCAGGCGTGAGAAGGCTGGGGCGGTGGTGTGGAACAAGGTCATCGTCCCTGGGCAGACCATGGCAGCATTCTGTTCTTTCTCAATCTCTTCCTTTGCTGACAGGGAACGTCAGAACCTTCTTTGACTCTCCTTGTTTTCAAGGAGCTGAGCCATCAAACTTGGTTCCAGTTCTCCTCTCTTTCCTTCTCACCTCCTTACGTCAGTTGAACCTCTTGTTTCACTACCGTCATCACCCATGTTTTCCTCTCTCTCTTTGGCTGCATCCTTGCCCCATTCCCCAGGCCAATATGCTAGAGATAATCATTGTATTATTTGTCTGAGAGCTGTCTTGTCTTCCTCCTTCTCCCCCCAACCACAAGCGCACGCACACCTGCACACACACACACACAGACACAAACACACACACACTCTCCAAACTCAGAAAGTTCATGCTGTATTAGTTTCCTGGAGCTGCCATAACAATGTATCACAAACCCAGTGGCTTAAAACAGCAGAAATCTGTTCTCTCACCGTTCTGGAGTCCAGGCGTCCAAAATCAAGGTGTCAGCAGGGCCATGTTCTCTCAAAGGCTCTAGGTGAGGGTCCTTCCTTGCCACTTCCTCACTTCTGGGGGTCACCGACACTCCTTGGCGTTTCTGGGCTTGTGGCAGCATCACTGCCAGGTCTGCCTCCCTCTTCACACAGCCACCTTCTCTTTGTGCACATCTCTATCTAAATGTCCCGCTCCTTATAAGGACACCAGTCATGCTTAGGGCCCACACTTACCCAGTGTGTCCTCCTTTTAACTTGATTACATCTGCAAAGACTCTATTTCCAAATAACGTCACGTTCACAGGTACTGGGGTGAGGACTTCAACATCTTTTTTGGGCACACAACGCAATGGATGACAGACGCCCTACCATTGTATCTTGCTTGGCATTTTTCAAAGTACACTCACAATCTCTGCGGAAGGCAGCTTTAGAACATCTGGTTAAGAACCCACACTTTGCTGTGGATCTAAGTTTAAGTCCTGCCTTTGCCCTTTAGGATGCGACCTTGGGCAATTGACTTTAGCTCTCTAAGCTTCAGCATCTACCCCATGGTTGCTACATATTGGATACTTAGCACAGGACCTGACTCGTGGGACATACTCCAAGAACCACAAGCCTCCTTGTCATGCAGGCAGACTATCCTCTTTCCTCCTTCACTTGCACAGCCGCATGGACTTAAAGCAGAGCCTGACATTGGACTTGAGAGTCCCAACGGAATGCTCCACGTACGGAGGCCAACCCACTGTCAGCACATTAAGCCCTCCGGGCTAGAAGATGTCAAGTCAACTCAAGATTTCCCTACATGACAAGTTGAAATTTCCTTTCTCCATGTCCCTTCCTGTCCCTGTCTTGTCTGTATGCCAAAGTTAAAGTGGCATAGTGTAACTGTTAAGAAAACAAACTTGAAAGTGGGGTAGGACGTGTGAGCCTGGATCACCCAGACAAATGCTCTTTGCACACAGCTCCCCTCTCCCCTCCACTTTCTGTTTGTCCTGTAGGCAGGCAGAGTCCCCACGGGGTGGGACAGAACTCCCCCGCCCTGGCTTTCTGCTGATTTCATGCTCTTCGACTGTGGTGTGGCTCTCAAGGGGTGGCTGGTAAAGACAAGCCACTATTTGTTGTTGAAAAAACAAATGAAAAGGAAAAAAATCCAGTCTTTTATCTCTGTGTCGCTCTAAAGTGCCAATGATGTTACCGTGGAGAGAGGGAACAAGTGGGGTTTTATTTTCCTGCCCCTGCCAGGCAGCCACATGAACGTCAAAGCTCTCAGGGCCCTGTGGGTCTGATGTGAGCAGAGACAAGACCGGGCTGGGCTCCACCAAGGCATGCTGGGTGCTCCCGGGAGTTGGGCTCTTTTGATGAGTCCGGGCAAGAGGATCAGGAGCTCACGCTTTTAGCACAGAAAGGGGAGGTTCTAGCAAGTCTGAAGTCAGAGTGATGAAACTACTCTGCGTGGGGGAACAGGACGCTCTCTTCACAAATGCTTGCTGCCTATCGAAGAGATAGGATAACACCGCGTGGCACAGTAATCGTCATCATCATCACAGCCAACATTATTTTTCTGTGCATGTATAATGTGCCAGGACCTGTGAAAAGTACTTTACATTTGTAGTTTCGCTTAGTCTTCCTCACGTCCTTATATTATAGTGATTGCTATTCCCATTCCACATATGAAGAAACTGAGGCTTAAAGGGCTTATGTGACTTGCCTGAGGTCATGCAGAGACAGAATTCAAACCCAGGTGTGCCTCACACCAAAGTTTGCCCTTAACTGCTAGGCTCTGTGGCCTCCTAAGACATTTTAAAGGGCACGATCAAACAAGAAAACAGGAGAAATTTATCTTCTTTCAGTGACCAATAGTAAACAGAGAGGAGGTAAGTGGGAGCAGAGAGAGGACGAGTCTAGAGTTTGAGTTGGATACAAATTTTGTGTGTGTGTGACCCTGGATAGGCCAGCTTGGATCAAGTTAGAAAGTTTCTGAACCTCAGATTTTCATCTTTAAAATGAGAATGTTCACAGATAGCTTTTGGATGTAAGGAGCAGAACACTCCCATTCAACTTGCTTCAATAAGGAAATTTATTCTCTCACATGTAAGGAAGTCCCATGGGACTTCCCATGGGGCTATAAATGGGAGACCATTTATAGCCTTGGTTAGTTCACCGGCTCAAAGATCCTATCAAGAACCCAGGAACTTTCCTTCTTTCTGCTCTGCCGTATTTGCTGTGACAAATTTTGTCCCTGGTCAAGCTAGCTGCTCTCAGGATCACAAGATGGCTGCCATAGTCCCCAGCATCACAGGTAGACTCAGAAAAAGACTGTGCTTTTCCCCACATAGCTCTTTTTAAGAGAATGAAACCTTTCCTTTTGGAATATCTTCCTCTGCCCCCACGTCCCAGCCATGTCTAATCAATCACTGGCAAGGGGACTGAAGCCACCGTGCGGGCCTTAGACCCATCAGATTTTACTTCTGGGGGAACTTGGGATAGGGTCTCCTTCTCTGAGACTTGGGGTGAAAGGCGAATACTGCTGGTCCAACACTGGAGTCCTTTTACCTCTGAAGAAGGTGGGATGACTCTCAGGTAGGCATTTAAAAAACATCCTACAGAATGCCCAGCGCCCAGCACAGAGCCTGACAGCCTGAGGGCTTCCTTTCCCATCCATTTATCTGAATGAGGGGAGGCAGCCCATTTTGATTGGTTAAGTTTCCGACGGCGGGTTGTCTTAAAGAAGATATGTTGTGACGCCTTTATGCAGCCCAACAACTTAATGAAACAAAGACTTTTCAGGGGCAGTCTTGGCTGAGAAGTCTAGGGATGGAGAGGCACAGCAGAAGATCCATTTGTCTTCTTAAAAGATAATTTTCAGAAAGAGGCAAACTCATGACTTTCATACAGATATAAAATAAACACGTGTTGAATAATTATTTTACTCCTAAGATACAAGGGAACTAGGCAGATGTTCTAACCGCTGTGTTAGTTTGCTGGGGCTGCCAGAGCAAAGTACCACAAACTGGGTGGCTGGAACAGCACACACTTACTCCATTTCGAGTTCTGGAGGCTCGAAGTCTGAGATCAAGGTGTCGGCAGGATTGGTTCCTTCTGAGGGCTCTGAGGGGAGGATGTTCCAGACTTTTTTTCCAGCTTTTGATGGTTTCCCGGCAATCCTTGGCATTCCTTAGTTTGCAGATGCATAACCCTGACCGCTGCCTCCTTCTCATGGTGTTCTCCCCACGCGCATGTCTGTCTCTTTGTTCAAATCCGTCCATTTATAAGGACACAGTCATATTCGATTTGGGCCCACTTTAATGACCTCATCTTAAATTGATCATCTGCAAAGATCCTATTTCCAAATAAGGTCACAGGCACAGGTACTAGGGGTTAGGGCTTCCATGTGTCCTTTTTTGGGGGGACACTATTCAGCCTGTAACAACTGTTTCAAAGGAAAAGTCAAAACAGAACAGATTTATACAAGTAAATGAATGTTGAGATGAATTTCAAATGGAGGTAAAACTAGTCTTTCCACAGGGCTGGGGGGAGGGGATCAGCTAAATCTCGACCGGATAGGATAGAAATTACGTATCTATCAGTTACCTCGAATTTACAAAGCTTTACAAAATATGTCCAACACAATGAACAGGGCCAGAGTCTCCTAACTCAGACGGGTATGTTATAGGCAAGGCATAGTTTTCCACTGAAACATAAAATATTTTTCTATGCGATTATTAGTCCACTTATTTTATTCCATGGATTAAGTGGTATTAAAATCCACTGAGGGCCAGCCCAGTGGCGGAGCGGTTAAATTCTCACATTCTGTTTCTTGGCGGCCTGGGGTTTGCCGGTTTGGATCCTGGGTGCAGACATGGCACCACTTGGCAAAAGCCATGCTGTGGTGGGCGTCCTACGTATAAAGTAGAGGAAGATGGGCATGGATGTTAGCTCTGGTCCAGTCTTCCTCAGCAAAAAAGAGGAGGATTGGCAGTAGTGAGCTCAGGGCTAGTCTTCCTCAAAAAAAAAAAAAAAAAAAAAAATCCACTGAGCGTTAAGTGGTCCTGAAATCTCATGTATATGGTTCACTTTCTTGGCAAACTCACCGCCACCTCCATCTGCCAGTCCCGCTTCCTGTAACAATGCTGGGAGTTTCGGCCATGTTTCCTCAGGGGCTGTTGGATGCTTGGGGCCAGCAGTACCCTCTGTGGAGACGCATAGAGTTACAGATGTTCTCAGTTCGTTCCCTGCCTGGTCACCTCTGGGAGGCACCCGAAGGATGCCCTACTACAATTACATGAACTACAACATCTGGGACACCAGGACCACTTCCTGCACCATATTTACAATCTCCCGTCTTCATGCCTCGGCCTCCAAAATGCATAGGACGTAACCTCCTGGTGTTATTAGCTCTGTTTGCTGGGCTTCTTGAAATTCTCATGGCTGCATGGGCGTCAGAGAAAAGCGCTGACAGAGACAGGAACAGATGTTCAAAGTATCAAGCATGAACTTCATAAAAAACTGCTTTGGGGCTGGTCCCACAGCCTAGTGGTTAAATTTGGCACACTTTGCTTCAGCCTGGGTTTGCTTCTTGGGCGTGGACCTACACCAATTGTCGGTGGTCATGCTGAGGCTGCGGAGACCCACATACAACGTGAAGATTAGCACAAATGTTAACTCAGGGCGAATCTTCCTCAACAACAACAACAACAAAAAACAGAAAGAAAGAAAGTGCTTTAAGGAATTGTAGATACAGGGGCTCAAGAAGAAAATTTCTTTCTCCTTGATGAACATTACCTTGGGAAAAGATAAACTCCGAATTCTCTCCCCCATGATTCATATTCTCTGACATTCTTTGGCATTCTCACTATACGCTTTCCCTCTTTTTATTGTATTGCTTTTTTTCCAGAAAGAAAAAAATCTTACTGAAAGAAAATCAAGCCAAGCCTGAGAATGTTGAATACCCAAGGCCAAGTTCAACAAGGCCAAGGAGCTTTCCAGAAGGAAATAAATCCATCTATAACAGGCCAGTCTCACAGACTGCAGCTCAGAGTCACCAGGACAGCCATAAGGCTCTTTTCATCTTCTTGCCAGCTCTCTAACTTACCTCCCCTTATTCAAGCAGCTACCAGTTTCCTGAGCATCCCACAGCCCGGAAGGTCCCCGGGCAGGTGTTCTCTCCTGGTCAAAGTCTCTGTCTTAAATTCTATTTCAACACCATAGGCCTCTTTGGCAGAACCCCCGCTGTAAGGCCTGGGGGGCCCTCGTCGTTTCTCTTTCCCATCTATCGGGGAACTCATCCCACATACCTGAAGAGAAAACACAAGACGGATAGGACGCTTTTCATTCTGTCTCTGACTCCCGGGCCCAGTTTCTCTCAAGCTTCTTCATTTCTTTTGAGACTTGGTGTGTGTGCCATTTTGCCTCATTGATTCCTCCCCTGGGCCCCATAGGGCGTCTGTATCTTAGGAAGTACACACTCTTTCTAGCCTTTGCCAATTCCCCTCCCTTATCCCTTCTTTTAAAATTTCTCCCATTTATTAAGAGCCGGCTACATGACAGGCAATTTGCTAAGCACTTTAATGCATTATTTTGTCTTATCTTCAGAGCAGCTCTGTGGGATCGGTACAATGATGATTCCTAGTTTGCAGCTGAGCAAACAAGGTTTAGGGTGGTTAGGAGACGTGCCCATAGTCACACGGCTAAGTTGACGAGTCGGGATTTGAACCTAGGCCTAACTGACTGAAAAGCCAGTATAATTTACTTGCTTGATCACTTGCCATGTGGAAGAAACTTCTGTTATGAAATTCCAGGGAAAGAATCCTGAAATCAATATGTTTTGTCAGCTATGAAACTTTAACAGATACTTGAGCTGCTGAAAGCGGTTTAGGCTGGGGACGCGGGTTAGGCACGCTACAATGAGCTATTAGCGTTCTCGCAATGTGGCGTTCCTCTCTCTTTGTGGGACTGCTTCTTTTCGTGGACTTCTCTCAAAGGCTGAGACTATCCTGGGACCTCCTTATCCTCTCTGAAGGCAGAAGCTTCTGTGATTTTCTGGAGATCAGACTTTTAATGAATTTTGGCAGGGTTGGTCTTGGGTTAAGTTTAGAAAAATATGAAGTTTTCTCTTTGAGGTCCCCCATCTCCCATTTTTATTAGTCTTTTCCTCTTTAAAA